GATGTGTGCAGTGGCTCGTGGAGGAAAACGTCGAGTGCGATGCACATTATGCCCGAGCGATGGGCGCCGAGGGCGAGAATAAGTGGGCCAGGTATGTGTGTGCACCGCGAAGGAGGAGAATTACGGTTTATTCGGATCTGTACGCATAGGTGATACGTTCGAAATTCGGAGTGTTTGAGTATAGTGTTCGGAGTGTTATGTAGCTGACAATTGTGTGAGCGTGTGCTTTTTCGCATTATCAGCATTGGTTTTTTTTTTTTTTTTTTTTTTAGCAAAATTTTTCAATGGAGATTCGGAAAAAAAAAAAAAAAGAATAAACTTCCCATCGCCAGTGCCACGCGTTATTGCACCACATGCGTCGTATTGGGTCGAACATATATAGGCATCGAGCGACACTCGAGAGCGATAAGTTCGCCAGTGTTAATCTATGCCGAAACCGCGCTAATTATAAAAAGAAGGCCACGCGGCCTCGTCGATAGACACGTATACACATACATGTATCGAAGCACATTACATCGTGCGCGGCACATCGCGCCATCAGCTTATAATGTGTACTACTTACTCGTCCAAGGGATAAAAAAAAAAAAAAAAAAATGTTGACGTTACAAAACACGTACACATGAATGAATTTCTTTTTTTTTCCTTCCTTCTTCTTTTTTTTCAGGTTATTCAACCTGCCCTTTTTTTGTACGGCCGTATAATACAATATAATATAATGCAGAGCCACTTATGTAAAGGCGCTATCTTTCGACCATACAGGCATAGAATTTATAGGTGCGCTGTGTTGGACGCGTTTCGTGTTTGCTTTGTCTTTGTACTGTGCGGTCTATAATTTTTTTTTTTTTTTTTTTTTCATTCCTCTTTCCAACATTGGAGGGGCGGAGTAAAGAGATTGTGAATTTTTTGGGTATTGCACCACATGGGTGACTCGACGGATAGCACCGATCCGACACCTTAGAAACATTCCTACAAAACACGGACTTTGTGAACTACAAACACCACATGTGTTTTTCAAAATGTGCCCATATATACAACAAGCCACACTCGCGCCTCCTCCGTCACTTGGGCACTTTTTTCGAACCCGGCGCTATCTTATCTTATCGGGGCGTTCGCTACCGAGACGACTAGCTCGCTCTTCCTCGCTTTTGCGCTTTTTTTTTTCCTTCTGTTTATTCTCGAGCCTCTTTTTTTTTTTTCTCATCGCAGAGTGCTCCACGAGGAAAGATTTTGCAGGTTTTGATGCGCTCAAAAGCGAGATTATACGTCGCTTTGGGGCTCCTCGCCATTACACACGATGTAGGTTACTTAATGATCGTTCAATTGTTAAACGGAGCATCGATGACATAACCGAAGGATGAACTATGTCGATAAGTTGTACTTTCTTGACGTTAAAAAATGCGACCTTTATCACCAAGAAAACTTCCACTACTCGACGCACAATAAACAATGTTTTTGAACTTGGTGCATCCAACGAGAGGGAAAATAAAAAAATTAACAAGGACGGTATCGTAATCGAGTTACGCTCTCGCTTATCAGATAAAAGGTGTTGAAAGAAAGAAAAATTTTTTGTTCAATTAATAAAAAGAAGAAAAAAAAGAAAAAGCGGAGCAGCGCAACGTGGCGTCCTCCCATACCTGCGCGACGGTACAAGAGATCGCACACTTGTGCATTATAACTTCAATCGTCGTGATTCACCTTGAGCTCGCGTCATAGACGCGCGTGCGCCAAGTTTACATGCGCCTGCACGCGTTATTTATATATTATACGCGTGCACGGATACGCTTCATTATTATTATTATTATTGCTATCGTCACCAGCGTGGGCTTCTTCTTGTGCGCCACCCAAAGTTTCATTCGAAAGAGAGACTCCACCGGGAAATGCACGCGTGCCATTTTAATTTTTTTTTGTTTCCGTCCAAGCTCCCACGCTACTCGCGAATATTTGCTGACGAGGTTTGCTTATTTTTTTTTCGTGACGCAAAATTGACGGCCAATTCCATACAGCCATACATGGGAAATGGAAACGTATGAAAAAAAAAGCCTCCGTAATCATTTGGTATGGTATATACACACAGAGAGCCCGCAGGTATATATACAGTCAAAAGCGTCGTACACAAATCACCTGTGGGTCGTTGTCACCCGCAACCGGTACTTTTCGAGCCGCACCTGCTCACCGTATACACACACCCACACACGCTTTTTATACCAAGGGAAGCCCTTCGGTGACATCGATTTTTCATACCTTTGGCGCGCAGAGACAACCACGTTATAGATTCCGCGTTCTTGAAGATCTTTTTCGCCCCACCTCCCCGAGCATAATATATATGAGGAAGAGCGTGTCGCGGGGGCGGGGCAAAGACGGCTAATGTGCTTACTCCAGTTAGGGCCCCTGGAAACCCCGTCTCGAAAACGGGGGTGCGATCGAGGCTTCATTGACCCGTCGCGACCCTATACTATCCTCTCCATGTAACTCGATTATAGCGAAGCGATATACCTTCGCGTCAAACGCCTCTTTTACTCGAGGCTGCGAAGAAAAATCGGAGCTTCGGGGCTGGCACTGCTGCTAGAAATCGCACACGATTATACCCTTTTTTGGTGCATTTGGAGCGCTCGAGGTCTCGGGTAATGCCGGTAAAATCCCGGGGCTCTCTATTACTCGTTCCGTTGGGTTCTCAAAATAGAAATCATCGATTCCCGTACCCGAGTGCCGTGCACACCACGTGGTTGCACGAGCCACCGATCCGGAGAAACAACACAATTTTTGAACAATCGGCACCTACAAGCCCAGTTTTTATGGCGAAATGAAATATTACACGTATACCGATTTGTGTTCCAACGGAACGGTGTAGATGATGGGTACACGTGCAAAAGTGAATATCGTGTTGGTAGAGTTTGCCGAGTGGCACGATTGCTCGAGCGAGCCGAAACTGGAGTGTGCTGCGCGCTCCCGATAAGACGACAATGAAGGGGCGCACCACCTCCGATAGCGCAATTACCACGATGCGACAGCAACAATAACTCGTGCATGGACTAGTTGTATATATTTACCGAAACGGCTCACTGCGCGGTGATGTGCAAAAAAAAAAAAAAAAAAAAAAAAAAAAAGTTTAGGCGCATGTGCGCAATTCAAAATAAACCGAGAAAAGCATGTAGTTGGCGAAACTACGGCAGCGCGAAAGAAAAAGGAAAAAAAGCCACCACCATCATCTCTCCCATGTATATACATGTAGACGCGGTATCCTCGCGAAGAGAAGGGGAGAGTCGTGTGTTCTCGGTAGGTAGGCATATACGCGTACTATTTTCGTGCGGCGGCCAAAATAGCCGAGCTTAAACTTCCACTATAGCTGACGCGCCACGAGGCTGTGTCAATTCGTTGGCCGTACCAGTGGTGTGTGTGTATGCCTGTGTAACCCTCTATGTATCTCGCTCGGTTGGCCAAAAGCAACGGGGTTGGGGGCTGCCGGCGAGGGAAGTGGGTCAGAAATTCGCGCGCTGCGTATATATACTTATCTCTCCGCGGGACCAGGACCTTCTTCGTGTGTACCGTAACTCACGGGGGGGATGGTGCAGCCGAGCTCTTTGGGTCGAATCCAAAGCGCAGGGCGTACATTTTTTTTTTTTTTTTTTCCACCTCTCGAAGTACTCGGAGAGCTTTTACGGTCTGGCCAGCGGGACCGAAAGTTTTCTCGGTAACAACATCCACTTTTCAATACCGAATTCGCTATTCATCGATTTATCGTAAGAGGGACAAACGAGCCCCCGTCTCGTGGACATGCTGCAACTGTGTGGTGCACACGCAAAGCGAACGGACGGGGGCATCGGCGGTTGTCATCGGGGCACGTTCCGTCTCCTCTGGGTGCGCTTGCATCAGCTAAATTTAACCGGCACGCGCTCGTGTATACACACGCGTTGCGTAACGCATCTTCCCCCCCCCGTGTATATATATATGTGCGAGAGATGGCGAAAATGAGGAAGGCGCACCATACGTGTACACCTAAAAGTCTCTTTTTTTTTTCGTAAAATAAAATCAGAGCCGTTGCCCCGAGACGATTCGATATCATTTACTCGGCGAGCATCGGCCGTCAGTTCGTGCGCAGCGTTGGGATGATGATGATGACGATGGTCGTTTTGTTGGCGAGCTTGCGGCTATATTTAAAGTCATCCTCGAGCACTTACACATCACCGACCACCGAATGGGTACGTTTATATGAGACGCGTTTATATTAGATCGGCGGTTCTTTTGGCGCTTCGAGAATCCCCCTCCTCTGCAGCGCTAAATATATTTGAGCGATGAGCGGCGCTCGTTAGCGCGTGTGCATACACATACATACAGCGCTCCACACGCCGTGCCGTCATTTTATCGTTATCGTTGTTGTGTTGCCGTTCTTTTTCTTTATCATCGCTCATTATGTGTACATTATGTATACATACGTGTATTTGCTGGTGGTGGATCATTTTTTTTTTTTTTTTTTTTTTTTTTTTTTTTTATTTTTTTTTTTTTTTTTTCACTGTAACAACTAAATGAGCTGGTGTAGTTGTCGCGGCGGCGTTGATGAATGCATGTGCACGTTGAGCAGGGTCTTAATGGAACGGGAGTACGATGCGTGTTACAGGTACGTACATACGGGTGCTCCTTAGCTAAACTTGTGTGGTGTATTCCGCAACTTCATCAGAAGCGCCGGATTATTTAAATTTACTGTATAATATGGGACCGATTTTTTTATTGTTTTCTACAGCATACTTGGATATTTTACGAAGGAAAAAAAAAAAAAAAAAAAAAACTGGTTTTGATGTCACTCGTTCATGTGGGTCAAAAATCAAATAACTAATAAGCAAAGCGATCCAAGGTATAGGTATTGTTCGAGACGAGGTTGACGATTCAACGAGAGACGGATCGCTCAAATTGTACCTGATAAGGATAATCGAGCCGAGAGGAGTGTTTCGCTAGGACATTCCCAAAGTACAAAAAAAATCGCCAAAGAGAGTATGATGTATGTATACCTGCTGGTAGGGCGGCATCTGGAGCAGGTCCCTCTCGTCGGCGGCGGTGACCTCGAACGTCGGTGCCGGCTGAATGGGATAGCCGAGGTTGGCCTTGCCCGGGTACGAGGTGCTCCTGCGAAACTTGACCGGACTGATGCTCGACTGGTGGGGCCCGGGTGGCCCGTGCGGGTGCCCCGGGAACGTCGGACTCGGCTTTCTACCCTGAAGCCCGGCCACCGCAGCGGCAGCCGCCGCGTGCAAGTTTGACGGCAGGGGCGGCAAATTCGGCACCGACTTGCCCCTATTCCACGGCGACAGCCCACCACCACCACCACCACCACCACCTCCACCCGGGTTGTTACCCCCCGAGTGGCTCACCGGGCTCTGACCCCACTGCTGCTGGGCAGCCGGCCCACCCGACCACGCGGCGTACCCCTTGTGCTGCTGCTGCTGCTGCTGCTGCTGCTGCAGGTACATACCGGGGTGGTTGCTCTGTTGTTGCATGACGGGGTGACGGGGACCCGGGGCCGCCGATTGCTGCTGCTGTTGGGAAAAGTTGTGGTTGGCGGTGATGGCCCGACGAGCCGCGGCCGCGGCGCTCGAGGTGCTGCTACCACTGGTGGCGAACAAGCTCCCGGGACTGCTGGTGGGGAAGTTCTGGAAGGCGTTGGCGATGGAGCCGTTGACGGGGAGGGCGTGGACGGGCCCACCGGTGTCGTCGGCCCAAAGGCTCGGGGCTACCCGTACGTTGGACGGTTCGTTGCCGCCACCGACTACCCCGTTGCCGTAGCCCTGGTGGTGGGCGGTCTGGGGCACCGAGCCACCGCCAATGATGATGCCCGAGGGGTCCTGCTTGTCGTTGTTGTGGACTATGACGACGGAGGAGCCGGAGGCAGGGCTGGCCGAGCTGGTTATACCGATGAGGGTGTTGTCTACCTCGTTGGCCGGTGCCGAAGACGAAGCGACCTTGTTGTTGTTGTCGTTGGTGGGCCCGAGGGAGCAGCCGGTCGACTGGTCGAGGGCGCCAGGGGACGAGGAGGACGACGACGTGGACTTTGTTGACGGGGGTACCGGTGCTACCGCTGACTGCTGTTTCTCGATCAGGAGCTCGTCCTGCATCGTCACCGTTCCTCCGGTGGGGTTTCCCGCGAGGGCCGTGTTCCCCGGGGTTGTGGCCGAAAAGAGACTCGTCACCGCGTAGTCGCCCATTCAGGCGACGCGTCAATCCTAGTCGGCCTCCTCGCTTATGCCCCAATTATTTATTAATGATCTTATCTGTTGTCGTTGCACTCCACACTCGCGCGCACACCCCCTCGTCGACGCACTCGCGCACAGTAATTTTCTTTTCGTTTTTTTTTTTTTTTTTTTTGGTCAGTGGGGTGGTGGAGGTGGCAAAGAAACCCCCGAGTGGCACATTAGCACTTGTATCATGTATGTATACTCCTTCGCGTATTTACTTTATCTTTCGTATTTTCCAACGTTTCGTGGATTAACGTGCAGTCAGGGCAGCGAAACACACACCAAACACACACTCACACTAACCACCGTCCGCGCGCGTGCTCCACTACTGGTGGCCCTCTCGCTGCTACTGCTGCTGCTCTGCGAGGGGGTTTGTTTTGAAGGAGGCGCAGAGGAGAGGAGAAGGAGGAGTAGTAGCACCAGCAGCGCCAGAGGAGGAGTAACGGAGGAGGGCGCGCGACAGAGGACGGGGAGGGGGGGGGTAAAAAGTCCCCCGAGCGAGCTTGCGGCCGACTATCGATCCAGCACGGCCACCAGAAGCACGCTCTCTCGCATCGGTATATAGCCGAGCTCTCCCTCTTCCTCGCCACCTCTCTCTTGTTTTCGCCTTCTTATACTCTTTTTTTCTTTTTTCTTCTTCTTCTTCTTCTTCTTCTTCTTCTTCTTCTTCTTCGGGGTGTCGTTGTTGTCGCAAACCACAGAGCTTTTTACCTCTTGACGATCGTCGCCCGACAGCTGCGTTACATAACGATATACGCGTGCCACGTACGCGATGTTATGTGTACTCGCAACCAAGACGACGACGCGAAACTTTACGTTAGCGCACTGTACTTACCTACCACTACAACCGTCGCGAGAGCTTTCGCACACCTGTGTACCGTTGTTTTACGTGCACCTACGCGTGACGACCCTTTGGTCGTCGGTCGCCGAGGACAGGCTCACTCGGTGGCGTAGCATCTTGCGCCCACATATGTAATAATAATAATAATAATAATAAATGTCGCTCTCCTCGCGCTATATGTACAATGTATTTGTGTTGGGCCTGCGTAGCTCTCCTCGGCGAGCTGTGAACTGTATACTGCCGCCTCGCTACAACATCGTCGATCACTTCTCGGGGGGCTCGGAGATAAGATAACACACCGAGCCGCCGGCACCGCTTGTTACACTAGTCGTCAACGCCGCGTTTTTTTTTTTTTTTTTTTTTTTCCTTTCGTATCTGTCGCTCGGATGAGCAAAAGACCACATGTACACCCGCACACGTTCCTCAAGGATCAACGCCGGCTCGTCATCCCGGCATACTCGTAACCATCGCCGTGCTCGTCGTCATCTCCGTTTCGGTCGCGGCTGTCACGAGTCTCATGACAATGTTACTTTCTAACACCACCACCACCACCACCACCGCTTATAAAAGTCCATAGAATGTCGTTGTCGTTATTTTACGCGGAGGAGCGAGCGATTATTACAAGCTCTTGCGTTGCATTGGCGCCACCAGCGCATCACATAAGGGAGAGCTTGCAGCCGTAGCAGACGACGCGCTCCAAGGGGGATGGTCGGGAGCTTTCGCACACGGACGTACAGTGCTCCCTTGCTAGCTGGCACCTGCTCTATACTCTCTCCTCGTTCTTTTTTTTTTTTTTTTTTTTTTTTTTTTTTTTTTTTTTTTTTTTATTATTATTTATTTTCAGTCCCAAGCACTCGGTCGAGCTTTCGGGCAATAGACGGCTCGCACGAAATGACTACGGCAACTTTTCCTCCCGCGTGTCTCGAGTGATTTNTTTTTTTTTTTTTTTTTTTGGCTTAGCAGTGCAGGCAGTCTGATGTACACGTGTATATAGTCGCTCGACTCTGCGACTCGAGGGGAAAGAAAAAAAAGAGTGATACTGTCGAGCCACCTCTTATCTATATATGTATACACAATACCTGCACGCGTGTATAAGGTATACACCTATACACGTCCCTCTCTGGGGGGGAAAAAAAGAGCGGTTCGCGCGTGCGTGCAACTTGCGCTCCATACGTGTATTATCTATACTTGGGTGTGCGCGTGTGTGCTTCCTCGCGAAATATAGTCCAGTCCCTCCTCCGGTGCTTTTCTCCGCTCTGGCCTACACTCGCGTCGTCTTCAGGGGGGGGGAGAGAGTTTCGGGGGTCTCCCTTGCTCGCGCCGTCTTTCCAACCTCCTCGCGCGCTTCTCCTCTATGTAGAAGGAGGCAAGAGTGTGGCACTACTACTTTTGTACCGCGTGCCGGCTTCTGATGGAGCACTGGCTCGCGCTACTACCACACGCGCGCAATACAGAGGGGTATAGGGTATACACGCGTATAGGTTTCTCATATTATACCGGAAAAGCTCGCGCCGACGCGTTGCGGCCGAAAGCTACGCCGAGGTGCGCGAGTATATATATATGCACCATCGCCGCCGTCGCCGCTGATTCTCGTGTATAGGATGATAACATACTCCCACCCGTCGATAACGTTGTCCTGCATGTATAGGTACCCTGACCTGGACGCCCCTCTTCCTCCTCCTCTTTCGGTGCATCGGCTCCGACCCGAGGACTATAGGTTTGCGGCCACTGGCTTTTTCTTTTTTTTTTTTTTTTTTTTTTTTCTCTCCGTATATATACTACGCTACACGTCAGATTTTGACGATCAGGGTTATGGATAACACTGGGCTTTGGGCTCATCGATTTCACCTGCTCTCGCACTGGTAAATGGCTTCATTCGCGAGCTCTTATAGCTTTTTTTAAGTGACGCAGGCCCAAATGATTTTTCTCCGAATAAAAATTAAAAAAATAACTCGCTTAATCGCTGTATCGATACCGGGGGGCATATATATAGATAAGACCAGCAACGCACGAGAAATAAAAAAGAAAAAAAAAAAAGTTTCATTAACACATAATGTATACATAAAAGCGCGGAGGCAAAGTGTGATTGATGATCGCTTTTTTCGCGCCCCTTGGTAACAAAAGGTGGGCGTTTCGTCATCTCACTACATGACATAAGCCAGAGATGAATACGTGTATCACGAGCCATATTATATACTAAAGTGTAGCCGGGACGAATAGTTTCTTGTCACGAGGCCTGGAGATGAGGAGGGAACAAAAAAAAAAAAAGAAATCTTGGTCCCGTGCATCAGCGTTTCGCGGCACGTCCAGCGTGCACAAGCACACCGACCCACCGACCGACATTATACACTTCCTCCACCGTGGGGTTATTGCATAACCTACCAGCTGATAAGGGAGAGAGCGATGGGGAATTCCCTGGTCTTATCTTGGCCGTCGAATTTTTTTCCCCTCTCTCTTTATCCTTATCTGCGCCAGTACAGCTCTCTTGTCCTTGCACGTGCACCGTCTCTGGGTTTTTTTTTTTTTTTTTTTTTTTTTACTTTGCCGAGTGGGAGGTTTTGATTCGCTCCAAGTTTGAAGTGCTTGCTATTGTGAAGGTTTTCATACAATACGGTTAATTTTTTCTCGGACAGCGAGATGAATTTTTTTTTCTTCTTTTGTTCCGGAGAAGCCGTGATTTTCGTCCCACAGGGAATTATGACACTTGGAAACGTTTTACACAGTAGGTAAGCACTGCAGACTCATAAAGCGGCGAAACTCGAAAATTGGGCACGCGAAATGAAAAAGTCGGCCACTTGCTAGCCCGTAGAGTCCTCGATACCTGCACGCTATGAGCTGTACCTTTAAATACGGCAAAGCTCGAAAATGCCCTTTGGTGCCGGGAATTCACCAACCAAAAAATCTCTGTGCTTACACTCTGCAGCCATTACATGGTATACCATGAATTCGATAAAGAAAAGCTCCCTTATCAAGCATTAAACAGAAAAAAAAAAAAAAAAAAAAAGATTAACTCGATTCGGCAAATAAGGCAGAGGACGTGTAAAAGAAAATTCTTGGCCCAAAATTATCTGACAACGGTAAACCTAAAAATTAATGTTGTTTGAATGAAAGTACTATCGACACGTTTAATTGAAAAACAGAACGCGTGGCGTGCAGTTAACTTGCCCACAGTGATAACAATGAAAAAGTTCACCGGCCCGTACACCTCCCATCCACCCGGCAACAGCCGAATTAAAATTTCAGGACAAGTAAGAGCGCAAAACGAGCCACCGGAGGTGAGGGGGGGGGGGGGGGGGTGAAAACTCTTTTCTTCCTGTAGAGAAAAAAAGAAAAGAAAAAAAACTCGCTTTTGCAACGCAACGCCAGTGCAGTGGGCATTAAAATTCAAAAAGCATCCAGGGAAAAACGGATGCCTCGCTTTGTGTTCGCGCGCGCGTATACGAACCGACTCCTTTTAACTCTCCAAAAAAAAGAAGGAAAAAAAGAACTCCAAGATCTCCGAGGCGAGGGAAGGGTGCAAGCAACTTTTCCTCAAAACACACGCGCGTGGAAAAAAAAGTCACTCCACCCCCAAAAACAAAAACACGCGTCGAGGGTGTGCAACGTATAAGCCGTGGAGCGAAAAAAATCCATCCCTCGTACGCGCAGCTGCGACGACCTACATAATATACTGATTTGTGTATATATATAGGTATGCGCTTGCGGGGGTGCGCGAGAGCGCGTGCATTCCCATCTTCCACCTCTGCACGCACGGCGGAGATTCCGAGTAATCGGCCATGCAGCTTCCCAAGTTGAGGAGGGTAAAAACAAAAAATAGGCGAGCGAGTAAATGTTAATGACTGTTGATTAAAATGAGTGTGCGCGAGGATAGATCAAAATTCCAACGACCCCCCACCCCTTAGAAGCGGATGAAACGAAGCAACTCGCATGCATCGCGTATAGGTGAATGTCGTTATTCGCCGATGTGATGAAGGTGGGAGTTCCGTGAACGGGCAGAGCTGTAAATTTTTTTTCCATTGTCATTGAAATTGGAGGAGCCACGGAGAGAAGAGGGGAAAGCTCTCGTGAATGCCTCTGAAATGCTCGACGAGTCTGCATGTATATAATATATATATAGACCGGTGTGCGGATGAATTGGGTGTATTTCCGTGAGCTGCCTATTCGGAGGTGAATAATCGCTTGTGCCACGGATGAGTTTGTCTTTTGTGGATGGGATATAATGCGAGGGTTAGCCGAGCCCGAGTCTTGGAGTTTTTGTCAAGTGGATGAGGGAATGAAGTGTGTCTCGTGTACACACACACAATTGACGGTAATATTGTATTGTGCGACGCTTTTGGGGCAGTTTGTATTTAAATTTGAAACGAACGTGACTGACTGGGAGGTATAAGGCAAGCCAGCGGTATTGGACTCTCGAGTGTTGTCCCCCCGACCCTCCAATTGTGGCTAATAATATCATAACATTGAATCATCACTTGTAACTGTTTTCAAACGTTACTTATTGCCTAAACATATAATAACTCTCCAATACATGTTTTTGTGATCTGTATAGAAATTTTGTAAATAAAAAAATTATTTTCGAATGAAAAGCACGTAATCATAAATAAATACTTGCGATAAGCTTTAATTTAAGCTATGGCAAAAGCTAAGAAAATTGACGGGATGGAAAGTTACAAACGATACAAGTTGGAGTTTATAAACGAATGGATATGGAATTCGGTACTTTTCAAACTTGGTGGACCAATGTAACTTCTGACCCGATGTAATTTCTAGCTTCGGCGATGCTTACTGATTTTCTGTCATATCTGTGGAAAAAAAGATTATTATCTGAGCAATTTTTCATGATTTAAAAAAAATTTACTTGCTCAGTGTAATATTACGCGTTTCCGTTCACCAACAGTGTAGGTGTACAGCCTCTTTAAACTATTGTGAAAAATCTTGAAGTCAGAAATTAAGTACCCAACGTGCAGCC